AACTTTCAAACTCAAGAATTCAGATGGGAAAATTCTGCCCCGGACTTGGAATGCAGAAAATCTTCGCAAGTATTATCAGTAATACCCCAGTCATGTAATCCATATATGTTATTACATCGCAACTCATGCATAATCAATGTATCTTAAGTATTATTCACTTACTTTCCTATACATAAAAATATCTTTATAAAGCATAAGAACTCATCAACGAGTCATCTCATGCTCTTGACCCGAGAAATACACAACTTCGGTTGTATCTTAGTCAGAGCACGATCAATCCCAGGGGGATTTGATCTAACCTCTTCCATATGGGTTAACATCGTAGAGTTTTAACTCCGGTAAACAACCCTGGATAGGTTAACAGTCCTTAGTGGACTACACATGATCCCTTCCACACAGGTTCATGAGTGAGCAATGCTCCATAAACAACCTCGGATGGGTTAATAAGTCCTCAGTGGACTTTCGTTGGCTCCTCCCATACAAAATAACATCATCAAGTAATATTATGATGCATAGCCCCAGTCTAGTCAAAGGTCACTGGCGAATAAGCAAGCAATGCTCCATAAACAACCTCAGATGGATTAATAAATCCTCAGTGGACTTTGGTTGGCTTCTCTCATACAAAATAACATCATCAAGTAATATTATGATGCATAGCCCCAGTCTAGTCAAAGGTCACTGGCGATTTATCTCCAAGATAACCTTCTTACGTGACATTGGACATTCAATGTGTTGCACCACCACGATGCTCCATCCAACGTGTTGTCGTAACGCACCGCCGCAACGCATCATCGCCGCGACACATCGCCGCGACGTACCGCCGTAACGCATCGCGTCACTGCAATTCTTCCCCGCAACGCGTCGTGTCGCCGCAACGACCTGCCGCAACGAGAAAAAAGATCCCGCTGCTTGTCTGCTACGCAGGACGGGGATGACTTTCCTCTTCGCCGCAACGAGAAAGAAGGTCCCGTTGCTTGTCTGCTACGCAGGACGGGAACAAATTTTCTCTTCACCGTAAACGCAGGACGGGGACGACTTTCCTCTTCGCCACAACGAGAAAGAAGATTCCGTTGTTTGTCTGCTACGCAGGACGGGACTTCGCCGCAAATCTGCACCGCAACACTTCGCCGCAACTCTTCGCCGCAAAACTTCGCCGCAAATCCGCACCGCAAATCTGCACCGCAACACTTTCCCGCAACTCTTCGCCGCAAATTTGTACCGCAACACTTTGCTGCAACTCTTCACCGGAACTCTGCACCGCAACATTCCGCTTCGCCGCCGCAACTATTCCGCTTCACCGCAACTCTTCTCCACGACACTTTGTTCCGCCGCAACTACTCTCTGCAACGCCGGATATTTTTCTCCTCCTCTTCACTTGTGATTTTTCCCCTCATCTAATGTCTCTATTTATAGGCATGATATGAGACATAACATTAAATACACACTATTAAAAAAATATATAATAATAATGAAAAAGACTTTTTATTTCATATTCCTTTAATTTTTTAGCTTTTCAAATTCTTTCTTTATTGCTGAAATTAATTAAAATTAAAACAGTTGATAATTAAAATAAATTAAAAAAAAAAAAACTCTTCACATACTAAAAATGTATATTTAAATTTCAGTTTTTATTTAATTTCTGATGCTTAAAACTGCTTCAACTCTCCAAACTTTTAATGTTCAGCTATTTCGAATTCAGCCCTTCAGCTCCCCTTCGGTTCGGATTCCAGATTCTTGGAATTCTTGGTTCGGCGTGGAATCAGATGGATTCCGCTGCATTCGGCCCGTGGACTCGGGGCCCGCTAGATTTGCATTCAGCCTGTGGATTCGAGGCCTGCTGCTCTGTGGACCGCTAAAAAAAAATATATGTAAATATATATATATATATATAAATATATATATATATATATTGGGGGAGATTTGATCTCTGGCCACTTACAAACTACATAAGAGAACTGCCAACTGAGCTAGACTCATTTTCATCCTTAATAAAGATAGTTATTATTCTTATTTACATATGATTGCAATAAAGTATTTTCACATTAATTCTTCATTTTCACAAAAATGAAAAGTCTATGGATCTTAATATTTCCGGACGAAGAAATTAGAATCGCCCGAAAATAGGGGGGCAACTGATACGCTACCAACAAATTTCCATCAACCAACACAGATCTCAGTGCAATTTTTTGAACAAGAGACATTCAAATTTCGATTAAAAGTCATCCGGAGCTCTGATTTCAGCAAAATTATAGTCAAACTGATCAGCTCGATAAGACGGACCTAATGATATAAAAGTTAGTCCAATCCGAGTCAAATCAGACCCGGATCAAGTCATTAAACCACTACTGGATGATTTTTGAAAGCATTTGAAAGGTCAAACGGATGTCAAATCAAGCAAGTTTATAATCGAATCGAGTGTCTCAAAAAGACAAATCCAACGAGCCCAAGATTACTCAATTCCGACATCGTTAAGACACTCAAATGTCCATCAAACGTCATCTGATCAAGGGAAGCTCTCCGGACGAGCCGTCCGATCAAAATGGTTCATATTCCTGCATTAATTGCACTCAAAACACTATAAATAGAACCTCACCCTTCACATGAAAGGGGAGGAGGCTTGAGAGAGAACTTGAAATTTTGAGAAGGAGCTCAGGTCCAAGATCATCTTCGTCATCGTCGCCCCCAACCCTGAGCCAAACCCCGCCGCCCTCTACCGCCCCCCGCCGGCCACCATTGAACGCCGCCGATCACCGCTGACCTCCGTCAACCACCATTTACTAGACGTCATCAGTCGACGTTGTAACGTGGAAAGCTAGTAACCCTTTCCCGTATGTGGGAGAAGGGACATCTGTAATCATCAACTTATAGTGTATTTTTACAATTGGATCAGGCCCCGTGGTTTTTCCTTTTTTACGGATTTTTTACGTAAAAACTTCTGGTGTGATCATTTTTATCTGAGTGTATGTTGAATTCTCGTGTAACGCTAAGACGATAATCGATTACTCTACCGCCACGAATTTTCTAGCACGCATCAATAATAAGGCAGTTTTTCTCTAGTTTTTTCTTTATATATATATGCATCTTTTTCATACTTCTTAACGTTATATTTAAACTTCTCTAATTTTTCATGATTTTGTTGCACCATGCCCTCATTTCTAAATATAGATAAAAGCAACAATTCTAGTTGCAATCTTTAAAAATTACATGATGACATAAGCTAATGAAGCAATTTAGATCATAGCATATATGATCTACTGCAATGTATTCTAAATGACGATTTCAATGATTTCTCAAAGTGCCAATTTACCATGCATATTCATTAAGTATTGATAAGATAATCTTATAAGAGATTTGCAACAGCAAAAACCAAGCTTATACTCGATGTAGCTTGTTCTGAAATCAAGACAACACTAATGTTTACATATACAAATTTATCTATTATACTTAAAATCTTTTTAATCCTCATCCTATTGGAATGATATTCTCCTCCGCGTTAAAAAGAATTGCTTGTTAAAGCATGTTCAAGATGACCATAATAAATTACCTGCACTTCAAAGTTCTTCCAAAACGCAAAGGTAAAAAGCATCAACTACATCCTTAATTTTACAATATGTTATTGGGTTTGGGAATATTTTCACTTTATACTGAAAAAAGTGAATTTATTTGCACTCAATTAAAAGGAGGAAAATAGAGTACATTGTGGGGAGAAGGATATAAACGGATAGGATAACAATGGGAAATCAAAAAAAGAGCATGAAATTCAAGATGAATAAAAAACTATGTACGTATATAAGGAACTATAAGAATTTAATGGGGATTGGTGTGTTGAGGGCCAACCTTGAACCCATATATGTAGTTATGTGCATAAAAATATATCGCAATTCTTGAATCAACCTATCTAAGGGATTGCTAAAAATGAACTATAAATTTTGGTAATGGTACAGAGTGATAGAGCAAAAAAACCCAACCATGTAGAATTGATGGAAATCCTAAACATTTAAGAACAGTGATATCATTTATAAAAGAATATATGTGATCATTTGTACTTACTGTAAGAATGGTAACTGGTTCTTCTGTTCAGTCTTGTTTTGAATCATCTGTTCAGTTTTGTTTAGAATCAAGAAGCACTTTAACTTTTTAAAAACACTAAAAAGTAGTCCTTAGCATCACCAGCTATTACGTAGTGTTTCCCAAAGGAAACATATAGAAAATTCAAAGTAGGTTCAATCTATGAAGCGTGCAAGCCAATTCTAGATATAATTTAAAAAACCAAAAAAATAGGTTGAAATTAGGCCGAGTTCACATCAACTCAAAAATAATTTAACATGTTTAATGAGTGGATATTTTTTTCTTTGATCAAGAATTTATATCTAGTAGAAATTTTAATCATTTTCTAGTTGACATACATAAATCATGTTATCGTGTCCATTTCCTCTCATGCTTGGAATTAACCCAACCCAATTACTTTTCATGTGCGTCAGATCAACTTGAAACTGCATCAAGATAGATTCAAGATGAAATTTTCAAATTGTTTAATAAATCAATAAGGTTTGGTCGATTACATTTAGAATCAACTCATTTTCTGGCAAAAAAACAAAATCCATCTGCTAACTAAAACTGACACCCACACCAAAAGCACATCGATGCCAATACAAAGTTGATTCTTGAGGGACATCCAGCACACTTTGTGAGTGAATTATATATATTGCATCTCAAAAAAATAAAATCACAATCAAATAAAACACAAACCTACATATGGATCTAAATTTCAAATGTCAATTTTAGCTTCAAGCTTGCACACATAGAATGACACTAATGATAATGAACTTGTTTTCCAACTTTAAATGTAGTTAGTAAGATAACAACTTTACACTAATAAATAGATAAACAGTAATAAAGTTGTGCATTCAGAAAGCCATGGATATAACTAGAGTTGGTAAAATTATGTTTAGTTTGTTCAAACACCGATTTACATCCAACCCAAAAGAGGGAAAAGTCACCTGCCCAAGATGAAGGAAGCTATGGCTGTAGAGATTATATGTGACATGTCCAAATTTAATCACAAGAGAGAACTCTGGAGGCATTGGTTCGCTGGGAACAAATGTTATCTGAGATCATAGAGATGTATCAAATTACTAAAAATAATCACAAACTCCATGGGAATTATCTTAAAATCCTTTAGTAAACATAAACCTACAGCTAATACAATTGAAAATAACAACATTGATGGGTGCCACTTCTGGGATCTAAATGCTATGACATTAATCAGATTGATAATCTTCATCAAAATTCAAAGGTGTTCCTAAAAATACGGATCACAGGGCTTTATATTTGTCTTTAAAAATACTTGCAATATAAATTTCAACCATATTTCACTGAAGCCCCTTATATTCTCCAAAAAAAAATGTACAAAATAAAAGTTAAAAGAATATTGACAATGTATTAGATACACAAACATAGCAAAGGAAAAAAAAACACATGTTATTTTATAAGTTAGCTCTCCAAATAAAATGATTAAAATCTATCAAAAATTTTTGAAGACTCGCCTTCAAGTGATTGCTATAAATACAAATCTATTAATAAGCCTTTATAAAAAAAATTTAGGGTTTCATGATCAAAGTTGTACAATACTTCTTTACAGGAAATAAGGGTAAAGTATAGGTCAACTTCAAACTTGCAACAAATGGAACCTGAGCAGAAGCGCCACCAAGTTCAACTATCCCAGTGGTTTCCTGAGGTGCTTTTCCAAGAGTACCAAGAGCATAATTAGCAGCAATCCATGCATATAGACCCTCATCAGCTCCTGAAATGGTTGAAACAAGAATCAGACTTGTGAATTAAACTCCAAGTTAAACCAAAAGATAACAATATAGAAGTGGAGTTTCCGAAAAAAAGGAAAATGGAATAGTATTCTTCATTCCTTTCTTATCAGAGTCTAACAATTAATTAAAAGCAACAAAAAGCCATTTGTAGAAATAAAAATAAACAAATTTTTTTTCTTGAAGTATACTACACAAACTACAAAATTTTTCTGGGAAAGTGCACAACCCATATGAATAACCCAAATATTTGATGTAACGGATACTAGGCAAAAGTTCTAATGCAATGCAGCCGAGAAGCAGTTTCGCAATGCTATTAAAGCACCACATTTCGAACACATTTTAAACCTGTGTAAAATTTCCTGATGATGGAAATCTACCCTGAAGGCATCTAATGCAGAAGTATTTCCTTCAACAAAATTTGGATATTCCAATATACTGAGCAGACATTAAAGTATTCTGACCATAACAACGATGGAACAATTTATCACTTGTAGGACACAATGTTGTTCTTAATCTTTCAGGAATGACAGTTGAGAAAATTTAATGAGAATTTCAATATAGGAAAATAAATACACAGTTGCAAAATGACTTCACATTTTTCATAAAGTTGCATCAGATTTGTAGTTCTCCATATCTAAGTCTTTATTAAGCATTCCTCCTCATGACCGTAGAGTGAAAAGAATGGAAAGATAATTTTGATAGATATGTACACCATGCAGGACTAGCATAATCTCGCCTGAAAGTCATATGATGAATTTAAGGCTTAAAATATTTTTATGGTTCCAGCACGTACAAATCAAAACTCGAACCATCATTTCCCTATTTGAATGTTTTCAGTTTAATAGATATAAGGGCATGTTAAAACACATGAAATTGATATGAATGCCATCCAAGAATTTAAATTAAGTATAAATAAACAAGTTCACCATATTTCTGCAACTAAATAAGAATGCATGAGTAAGATTCCTTCCATTAAATAGTTAGGGCATGCATCTCTCCAATTTGAGAATGTAACATATTCTTGAAGTTTTTGAGATGCATTATGAGCATCTCAAAGAGAAAGTGAGAGCTATGTTGTCCATAGCGAGCCAAAGCCAACCTAAATTGTGTTGTAATTGTAAAAGTCAATCTAGCACAAAAGATAAATCCTAGTTTTCAATCAACTGTGACAATCATAGGCTCATAGCCAATCTCCTCCAAGATATATCATTCCACTATAAACAGTGAAGTTGTCAGGAAAGAAGAAATTCATAGATTAAATCATCATCAACAAAAAAAGGGAAACCACTATTATCCAAATAGAATCAAAAAATGATTAAAACAAATATTGTTTTTAAGGAAGTTATCGTCCAAAAATATATATACAACCATTCATATGTCTATTACCTTAAATTCTCACTTTTGATTTATTTAAGCATAATTGAATCCTAGCATAGAATACTAGGAGTTAAAAATTAAAGTATAAATATATCACACATAGAAGATGTAAAGATAAGAATCATAAGAATACCAAGAGGTAATCAAATTTTTAAATAGTAAGTAGTGACCTTTGGGTAAGCTTGTCAGAACTAATGTTTTGAGTTGCATGCTAGCATTGTTTGTGGAGCCAATATATACCCATAATATTAGTTTAAAATGACAAGTGATGAGCAAAATAATTTGAGCATAAAAACTCCCTTAAATATCATTTTCATTTTAAACTTTTTTAAACTTATTTTAGATTTTTGGGTGTTGTATAGTTGGATTTTAGATACAGTAGACAATTGGAAATCAAATATTTTGATTTTGACCATAGCAAAGTTCGAATCAAGTTGAAAGTGATTGATTTTGAGTTGAATTTCAAGCCAATTCAATCAAAACCTAGTTATCTTATCAAAAAAATTTAATCATTCGTCAAGGTTATTATGAAAATAGAAATATTAACACGTTATTCATACGAGTATTGTAAAATTTATTATTATTATTATTATTATTATTATTATTATTAGAGAAACTTATATTATTGTCATTATCATGATCATGATCATGATAATTATCATTATTATACTTGTGTGTGTGCATGCATGCACGTGTCTATACATATATCTTAGACTGCATTTCTCTACTTGTTAATACATTTATTACAATTTATGACAATACTCTTAGGCAGTATTTCGTGACCTACTAATAGGCGGATTTAGCAAAAGATTTAGCTTAAATCTAGCCAACCATAAAAAATTTGAACCTTAAATCCAACACTTCGTTAAACCTAATTTTATTGTGTTTTGTCTGCTTTTCCTCGTGTTCCATCTTCTTCCTAAAGTAAATCCAGATTTATTAAATCCGAGTCGCTGTTGGATTTACGACCGTGGATTCAATGATTTTCTCCGTCAAAATGGATATGATAAATCTGTATTTAGTAAATCTTATTTAATGTAAATCGGTTATGCAGCCAAACACCGGAGAAATATTTGCGTACATAAGATGTACGCAGCGCTGCGTACATCAGAGGTTATTCTGGGGGTACAGGGGAGTTATATCCGGGTTATACCGGAGGTTACAAGGGGGTATAACCCAGATATAACCCCATTGTACCCCCTAAATAACCTCTGATGTACGCAAGTACATCTTATGTACGCAAACACCGCCTTAAATCATAAGAGTTTTGTTTTCCTTTATGATCCATAAATCAGGGGATCACCATTAAACATTAGGCCTAATTGATACATAATGCTATTTTATTCATATTAATATAAATATATAGATATTGCATTTCTATTGCTGAAAATATGCCTGGAGAAGTACATTGATTTCTCGAACTTCAACTTTTATATTGCAGTAAAGGAAATAAACAAATAAACAAATAAAAATTTAGGAGTCAAAATAATGATTAATTTTGAATTTTTCTCATATTTTTATAATTTTTTTAAATCATTTAAACAAGCACTCACTGCTCAAGTCGGCAAGTGCAACATACTATCATAGAGAGAAAGGAGAAGGTACAGTGAAGGAAGCAGAAAAAATCACCTGCCTGAGATCACGGTCGCCCAGTCATCCTGAAACTTCAATCCAGACTCTCTGAGAGCGCTCCTGCAAGATTTTAAAATCCCCTCCGCCTGATCAAAATCAAGCAATCGCAAACCTGCGGTGGCCATCAGCCTGACCTCCGTCTCCCCCCACAGATTCTTTGGCACTTTATCCTTCACGAAATATAACAGCTCCTTCAATGATTCTACAACAACCTCTGGATTTTCGGCGAAGGCGGAAAGCCCTGGAACCACCTTCATCGAAGCTGTCAGTCCAAAATCGATCGCCGAAATCCCTCCCCAACCTCTTTTGTACCCGAATAAGTGAATACGCGTCCCAGTGCTTCCGCCATCAATAATGATACCGAATTTATGAGAAGATAGCGAGGTCAGGAAATAGATAAGGCAAATGGGAAAATCCCCGACGCTGCCGCAAAGAAGGCGATGGTGGTGAAATGGCTCCGGGAGCAGTGACTGCATCCGTGTATGTTAGGGCAAGGGGGAGCGATTCCCGGCGAACGCATTTCGGTGGGAGGATTTCGGCAAGATGCCTGGAGCCGGGCATTTGGCCGGCGCATGAAAACTTAGCAGGAAAATTTTTTTGAGTTGCTAATGTTTGGTTTGGCGTTTCGACCGCACTCCGTTTCCTCCGGCCATGCGCCGTCGAAGGGATAGGGGAGCAGAGGATCGGAGATGTTTTGGCTTCCTGTTGGTGCGAAAGAATCAGTAGCAGACAAGTTTCTGAGTTCCAATTCATAATTTATAAATATACCATAAATAATAGTAAAATTATGGGTTATTTACATTTGGCATGGTCGGGTGGTCCGCCGGGCTCCGCATGTTAATGAGTTTGTATTCAATTCGTTAGATAAGTAAATGGGGGAAACGAATAATATTTTTTCATTTATTTAGTTCAATGAACCAATATTTTTATTCGTGTTCAGATTCGAATTGTTATTGTTTGAAATATAAAATAATATAAATTAATTATATAAAAAATTTATGATAATTTAAAAAATTAAATTTTATAAATTATAATATATAATAAATTAATAATACTAATAAT